AAGTAGAAGCTACAAGAACAAAAGTGTTTTTAATTCACTTGATAATGGTATGTTAATGAAAGTTTCCCTTGACACTATATGCCTTATAGCCTTATCAGCATGTCTCACAAGGTTTGTTTTGCAAAATACACTCGCTTGATGGTTTTCTACACACATTTTTTTATGTCCCCTCATCAAGTAAATTCTTGTTCTGAAACATCTTGGTATACATATTTTTTGATAATATGAACTACAAGCGCCGCTGAGCAAGAACAATCAACAAACAAATGTATATGCCGGCTGTGCTATTGGTCTAAATAATATTACTTTGTTTGATTGAACAGGAAACGTTTTTTACATGTTTACACAGTTTAACGGGTTCTGTTAGCACCCTAACAACATTCTGACCTGACCATAATATGAAAATGGGGCAGTGCAGTGGGTCTGTGGCTCAGGACCTGTGCCTGTGACTGGAAGGTTGCCAATTCGAATCCCACAGCCAGCAGAGGAATCCTACTCCGTTGGGCCCCTGAGCAAGGCCCTTCACCCCAACTGCTCCAGGGGCGACCTACTGTATAAATGGCTGACCCTGCGCTCTGACTCCAAGCTTCTCTCGGTCTGTGTGTCTCATGGAGAGTAAGTTGGGGTATGTGACAAGACAAATTCCTAATACGAGAAATTGTATAGGGCCAATAAAGTGATCTTATTTTAAAAGAAAACAAGGTTTCAAAGAAACATGTAATTTTCCTTTGGGTGTTCAGGTTTCCTCCAAGAGACCCAAGACATACTGGCTTTTGTAAACCGACCCTGCTGTGAGTGTGTGTATTTGTGAGTGTGTGGTATGATTCTCCCTTTGGGTGCGAGAGGTCCTGGGTTCAGATCCCGGAAGAGCCCCCAAATGTGTTATGTCCCCAATATGGCTCAGCCTAGGGGTGAAGGGGGACTAACATATGGGCCAGGGTTTAACGGACAGAAACACACACAACTATGTGTAGGACGGAGGAAAACGCTAGGAAGTAAAAACACACAGGGGTAAGCGAATAAAAAAAACAAAACCTAACTACAGTATTCTACAACCCAATTACCCACTAAACCCGTCTCCCGAGAAAGGGGTGGCAAAGCCAAAGGAAAGGCTTCCGCAAGCTGTCTTTCTGCTCTATACTACACTCTAGCGGAAAACAAAAAAAACACGGGTGCCTCAGCAATCCCGACCCTACAGCACAGCCCAGAAAACAAATCCGACGCCTCGCACGTTTCCCCGTTTCTTCTTCTGACACCCTCCCCGGACGGCCCGTACCGGCATTTAAAACCGGGCCCCTCTCTTCAACCAACCCAGAGAGAGAGAGAGAGAGAGAGAGAGAGAGAGAGAGAGAGAGAGAGAGAGAGAGAGAGAGATCCAATTTAGGGACACAGCCACCTCAATAAACGCACCCCCGCCCGGGAGGGGAGCCAAAAAAAAAACCCAGAACGTAACAGTGTCTGTGCGTGCCCTGTGGTGGACAGACGTCCCACCCAGGGTGTACCCTGCCTTGAGCTTGCTGCTTGCCGCGATAGGCTCCAACTCCGCGGCAACCCTGAATTGAATAAATTAATTCGGAAACGAATGGATAAACATGACTGGCCACACACAGCCTAACACCCAGAGATCCCTTTTCCTACCCGTGGTACACAATCCAGAGCTGCATATTCTAAGCGTGTTAGTTCAACACTTTGATTTGCTCGTCAATGGAGTTTTGTGCAACGATGACAACCATGACAGATGGGAAAAAATAACTGCTGTCAAAGATTAAGCGGCTCTGGCCTGCAGCAGCTGCTGCTTTCCGTTTATAAAGTTAATTTTACAGTCAAAGAGTAAGAGTACAAATGTGGACATTGCAAAGTTATATTAACTAATAGAGAATGTGCTATTGATTTGTTTCCCACTGCTGTGTCTGCTAAATGCACTGGTGGCTTAAATCAATATATTTCTCACACACCATATTTAGAGCTTGCATTCAGGACAACCTGTTTCCTTGCAGATTTTTCATGGGGATTTGTGAGCTGAGAATCAAACCTTCTGCCTTTTCTATTAAGGCTCTTGCTTTTGTTCTCATTCCCTGTAATTTGTATTCTGATTCCGCACTTGCTTGGGAAGTCTGCATTTACCGGCTTTATCCATTAGAAAGTAAATTGATGTGGATCTCCAAGGCCTTTGCCTTTCCTACATTGTGAACAAGCACCACTTCACTTAGGGTTGAAAAAATAATATCAATAATATCAAATTTGCAAAAAGAAAACATCAAAAATATACAATAAAGACCTTAATTTATATACTTTTATATAAAATGTATTTATTCACCTTTGTCTCCAAATTAAATTATGCATTAAAATTAGGGACTGGCAATTTTCCAGACTATTTTATTCTTCCTTCACTGAGAGGACAAAACAGCCTCTTCTAACATCACCTACAAACAATCATCCAATTGCCTTCATCATCTTGCTTATCTGTCAATCAAATTACTACAACATATACGCATGAGCCTGTAGCTTGACAGCAATGTACACAGCTACAGTAGACTCAATCATGTGTCCGTTTTCTTCGATAGCATTAGCAACAGACAACACGGCCCTAAGTTAAAATGATCTTGAGGTTCATTTTATACACTATGTGTCACCAGAAGAGTGTTTTCTTTTGGTTTGAAGAGAAGAAAAACAATGAAAATAAAAAAAATAGTGCAGTAACAGGTTCATGCTGAATTGGCCTTAATAAAAACAGAGTAACAACAACAACAAAAAAAACAATTTGCACAGAGCACCAAATGTCAGAGTTCAGTGAAAGAAAGAATCCAGGGCCTCGTATTTTGCTGTTAAAAAGCAAGAACTTCTGGCACTCTTTTAAAGATTATTACTTTAATTTAACCAAATGAACAACCCCTTCCCAGCTCTTCAGGTGCTGGAGATTTACAGAGAGCCAGGAGACCTGCTGTGCTGCTGCCCACCCAGACTGGAGCTGAGCACCATGGGTCTGAATTAATGACTTCTCTACATGGTGCCACTTACTCACGGAGATTCAACTGTACTAGTGCCACATTCGGAAACGAAAACTTGGCATTTCTTCAAAAAATGTATTTCGTTATTGCTGCCTTTATCATGTTGGGCACCAGCGCATTAACACTGAGTGATCAGTAAAACTTTGAAAGCTTTTCCTTGTTTACTTCGGAGCTCTTCCACGTTACAACCCGAATAGATTCTCAGTTCTGGATATTTTGAAAACTTCTATCTTTGAGTATTATTTTATATATTTCCATGTTGACCTGCAGTTCTCAATTATATGTTTTTTTTTCTATCCAGCATTTTCCCATTGAGGTTTCTTGTTCAGTATTTCAGCATTAACATTTATTATCAAATAATTTCAACTGACTTTCTGTATTTGTATAAAAAGTGTGCATCAGTTTTCCCTGATCCACCTTTAGCTTATAAGACGGTCATCATAAACCACCTTCCTACTACGTAAGTTTCAACAGTGTCACATCACTGCTTTCTGAATCAAATCTCCTCTCTGCCACATGTCACTTGTTATAAATTCTAAGCAGATAACATAAAACAATATACGACAGATTGTGTTGAGATAAGCAGGCACCTGAAGATGTTTTTTATATTATATTCATAGGCTGTAAAATGTACGCTTGTGAAAAGAGATTACAAAATATAAGTCATGCCTTTCTATCGCCTATCAATAATAATGAAAGATATCCCATGGATTTTTGCTTACTTTTTTTTGCTGATAAAATCATGCATACCACACAAAAAGAGAACTCTGTATGTGCGTGGTGTTCAAAGCATAAACAGCACCATGTCAACAGTCAACAGGAAGCTGTTAATGTTCCTTCTGAATGTACTTCACTGTTAATATACCAGGCATTAAAGAAACCGAGAATATCACTTTTAACGGCAACAAATTCACAGAGCGATTATCAGGAAAAGGAACCTTTTTCTTGGCAGGTTCAGTGATTTTTTATAGAACAGATATGAGCTAGGTATACTCATTCTGCTTGTTAGCATTTGTCATCAACATGGCAGATCAACAGGGGGACTATTGTCAAAGCCACAAGCTCATAGTGAGTGTCTGGCCACTGTTAGAAGCAATCTCTGTACTTCTGAGATGCATACCCTGTGCCAGGTCTTGTGGGTTTCTTTCCCATCACTCTCACATATCCTGGTTGTAGACATGAGATGGGTGTATCGCTCCCCACGCCAGTGCCACCAGCACTGTCAATGCAAAACCTTGATTCATCCCTACAGAGGACTTGACTCCGTAGTTGGAGAGTCCACCTGAGGTGACTCAGTGCAGCCTTCAACACAGCAATGGTACAAAGACACTGTTCTCCTGTGGTAACATGAATATATCACACCCTGTCGTGAATGCGTATTTAATCAAAATGATGCCAAAACCACTTAATTAATAACCAAAGTCTGTAAGTTTTATTTTTCTAATCAAAAATACAAACATAGAGTGATACGTTTCTTCTGATGCTCAGTCTTTTTTTCTGTGTACTAACGTATCACTGTACTATTTTTGCACTGTTACCTAAATTACTTTTGCACTGTTTTTGTCCTGTTGTATTCTTTCTGTTTGCGTATTTGCACAGTTTTGATTACACTGTTATGTTATTACACTGTTATTGTCATTGTGTTACTGTCTATTATCTTCTGTTCTATTTATATACTACACCTGAGTGACTAACGAGAAACACTTTTCACTATACTATGCACCTGTGTAAGTATAATAAATAAAGTTGAAGTGAACTGAATTTTTTTCTGAGAAAAACAATTGTGCTTATTTCTACAAGTGAATTGAAACACTGAGCCTTTGCATTTTGTACAATGACAAATCTAGATAAGAAACTTCAAGATCACAGAAGGCTAATGATACTGATTAAGGTAGAAACTGAAGCTTCTCCTATTCATTTATATCTACAAGACATATCAGGGTTTCCAAGCACTTGTGTTTTCAAGCCATCAATAAAAAAAAGCAGCAATACCTGACATGCCTGCTGTACTTCATCTGCAAAGTGGCTGATTTGTGAAAGAAGGTGACAGACGAATGAAGACTTTAACAAGCTGCTTCTTCCCAGAAGGATCAGGAAGTCTGCTATGGACTCCTGCGTCTGAAACTGAAAGATCACAAGAGATTTAATAAGCTTTCAGCATGTCAAAAACGTGACTAGGCACCAGAACACATAACGTTCTGGATTGTCTGACCTGAGCAATGAGCATGTCATGCACCTGTGGCCATGTTTATTTTTGCTTCAGTCACAGATAATTTATCAAAAAGGTTATAGCATCAACGTGATTTTATTAAGGTATTAAAAGTAAATGGAATGGATTCATTTTGTGCAATTTACGCAAAAAAGGCAATTACATAACTAGCTAAAACGTCAGTGTGATCCTATGAAATAATGCAAGTGAAGTACACAGCGTGCATGGAACACAGCTTGGTTTACAGGCAGTACAGACATTGCATATTGCACTGTTTCTCTCACTGCTGCTATGAGAGAATGTGACACAGTGCACCCATGTTACTGGAAGCTATAGACCGGCCAAAAAGAGTAGTATATCATGTTAAAACACCAAGACTGGTTTTCAGACTCATTCAAAATTGCATACTGCAATGCAGTCCAGTCATGACAAGATAAATCCAAATCTGTTAAAATATTTGAGACAAGCACTCTTTTTGAATGAGATCGGAGATCATCTGGTTTTATTCTCTGCAAGCGACTAATGCAAAATAATTGTTATTAATTAGTATAAACAAAATCAAGGTGGTACCTCTTCCATCTGAAAACCCAAAGCTGCTGGAAAGAGGAAGAGGTTGCTTTATCTGAGGCTTCTCCGCATTTATCACAGTATACCCAGTGCATGATCGTCATAGTGTAATCAGTAGTTGTGACAAATGTCACAGAAATGCAGCTATAGAAAATATTTGAACACTGGAATGCAATACAAAATTTTGTTTGGTATTTATTAAGGAAGATTTCATGGATAAAACAAACTAGAAATGGCTATACGAGGCAAGAAGACGCGTTTTTCTTAATATATTATCTCTGGAAGAAAAGTCCAGCTTCTCTGCCAATGAGCTGCATGAGATGCTGTGCCCTTGAAAAAAACAACTTCACTTAAAATAAAAATTAATAAAATAAAAGGTGTCTCAACTGCAAAACCATTTTAGCAAGGTAGTCCTAGAGATCCTTCTTCGCCCTTTTCCCAGTGGCTTTAAAAGCGTCTTTAATATGCTACACACAGCATTACAGAAAGCAACTCTTCTAAATATTTCCTCTCAGTGCAGTTTTTATCACAGAGCTGGGGAATTTATTGACTTGTTTTACCAACGTAATATCCCCAATGGTTTTTGGAAAGGCCTTTCAAGTTATCTGACAAGCTTTGACAAGCAAAGACCCAGATATCACCTGACAGCTTGGTACACCTGCAGAGGCAAAAACATGTGAAACACCGAACTATATTACTGTATTATTAAGTTAAGCTCCACCCTGGACATGCAATTAAATCAATAGACAGATTACCTGACATAAATCAGCAAATCCAGAAAAAAACAGAATATATGCAGGCCATGCAGAAAGAAAATACCCACATTTTTCTTTCATTTCATTTTACATTTTAGCAAGACAGTAAAGAATTATTCCAAAATGATTATTTTAAAAAACATATAAAGATGCGTGAAACCTAAAACAAAAGGCACTCTTACGATGCTACAATATTGTCTCGAGCAAAGTAATAAAGACAGTGGGCACTTATCAAGATCACAATGTACTACACAGTAACATCATACTTAATAAAACGCATGTATTTCTCAGGACGGCTGTTACGTGCCAAGGTTCTTAACTACTCTTTTCTGGTATAATTTCCAAAGGTCTCATTGAATTTCATGTGATTGTATTTGATTATTTTTACATTATTGTATCATCACTCCACACACATCCATAACACAAAATTCAGTCCTAATAAAGAAACGTTTACACCTTAATTCAAGAAGGGTCAAGAATAGTTAGATTCTATATGTGAGCTAGTGAAATAGCGTGAAATTTTGATTCCTCTGTTCAAGGAAGTCAGGCATGACAGAACAGGTTGTGAGTCAGCACTATAGCAATAAGGACCATATACAGTTATTAGAAATTGCATGCATACATTTCCCTTTGACCCTTACCAATCATGGCCTCCTAATAATCCCCATCTCTGAACTGGCCTCATCACTCTGCTCTCCTCCCCACTGAGAGCTGGTGTGTGGGGAGAGTACTGGTGTACTATGGCTGCCGTCACATCATTTGATGCTGATGATAACAATGCATGCATAACATGGTCTGTCCATGAAAGAGATTTCCAGTTACAAAATATCTTTAAATTTTCTTTTTTCTAAGCTGTACATAATATTTAGAATCACATTCACATTTATTATAATATAAGATATTAAAAACTTCTCTAGGTTCTGATACTCTCGTGTTGGGTTTTTGTACCTCCCAGTACATCATGTCCTATTAATATTCTTGGTAATATTCATCTATAAAGCAATGTCTTCAGCCTACAGCTTATGAACTGCAGTTCAAGATTATGCTGTTTGTAAGGTAATCTTTTGAAAATGGTTACATATATTATAAAAAGTACAGATGTTTACTGAAAGATTACTTGAATATTACAAATCCAATTTTAGACCAATTCATTTGCTACTGCTTGATCAATATTGTTTTTAAATCCTCAGCTACTACAGATAATCACTCGGTAGGACTCTTAAACCAAATACCACTTATTAATTGGACAAAATAAAGATATTTTTTATCTGAAAAAAACATACAACATAGAAACGTAAGAACACATGGGGATCTCTTTTGGGATTTTTGCTAAATGGTGATTTTTAAGGGGGTACACTAATTATCAAGGGGTACACCAATTTACGTAGCAATTAAGGTTATGGTGTTAACATTGCCACATTCTTTTGAAGTCTTTTACGAGATTTTAGACTTTTAGACTTGGAGCCCTGCAATTTCTCTTTATTCAGTGTTTTAATGCTACAGTGCTTCCCGTGCCCGGGTTAATTTGTTTCTTTTTTGCGTTTTTCCCCTTGACCACCCCGTTCCCATTTTTTGGTTTTGAGAATTCCTAGTCTGCTACTATTTTCTGTCCACCACCAAAGCTAACTTTAACAATGTCTAACTGTAGACATAATCCATCTACCTTCTTTTAAAGATACTCTACTGGGTTTTATAATAAAAATATAACTGGGAAAAGAAACTACAGCTACTTCCGCTGACAGTCTAAAGAGACAATTTGATGTTTTGTTTAAAATGAAATATTTGCTACCATGTTTTGCTCAAATTTCACATTTCATGGCTTATTATAGCACACCAGTTATATTCTCCTCATTGTAAAAGAAACATACAAAGTGCTTCAAAGGGCACCTCTCACACAGAAAGAAATTATATACTTGACGTAATATATGCTTTGTTCAAACCATTATTGCAAGCTTGCTGTGAGAGAGGTAGAGCCAAGGTTCCCCATAAATGTGCCCATCAGGCTCTACTGTGCAAATATGAATGGTGTTAATTATAATGCAACAGCATGTGTCTTTTAGGTACTGGAAGTTAATAATGTGGAATAAGTGCATATTACACCCACTGTAAAAACACAGGGAGCCTTAGCAAATCTGGTTATCAGCAAACCCAGGGAGGAATATGACAAGCTACAGCAATTTCAGAAAATACAGTATCTGTCAAGGTAGTAGCACTCTATAGTTATACGTGTTTGCCACACAATCTAAAACCCAACAGACTACAGACATTAAAACGGATGATATGGTTTGTCATGACCTTTTTGCTGGTGACAGTTATGTTGTCTTGTTGCGTTGAACTCTGCTGCACAAAAAAAAACACATTTCCCCTAGTGTTTAATAATAAAGTTCAGAATTGAAACTTTTGTTGCAAGATCTCCAATAATAGGCTCTGTTTTATTAAATTAAACCTAATTCATCGTGAAATAGCATAGCAATAGTCAGGTTAAGAATCATGATATACTTAAATATTTTACAATATTATCAGGCTGCAGCACAAATACTGAACCAAGATGATCAGCTACAGTATACCTACTGTTAAACCTGAGTTATGTATATGCAGTGAAGGTTTTCATTCTGAAATAAACACTGCTGGCCACTGTTTGTCAGCCAGAGACATCTGACTAATTATGAAAAACTAGTATTGATTTTCTTCTAATTTATATTTAACTCACATTTTCTAAAAAACAGAACAGGAAAACATGTCTGGTTTGACAGATACAAAGCTCTTAAAAGGCATGACATGTTTAGATTAATCAAGGATGATAAGAATAAGGGTTTTTTTATCCACACTTCTCACAAGCCCATCTTTTAAGATAAGATCACTTTATTAGCCAAACATATTTCTGGTTTTAGGAATTCGCCTTTTCACATACCCCAGCTTGCTCTCCATGAGACACACAGACAGGGAGAGAAGCTGGGGGTCAGAGCGCAGGGGTCCAATGGAGTAGGTTTCCCCTGCTGGCTGTAGGATTCGAACCGGCAACCTTCCAGCCACAGGTGCAGATCCTGAGCCACAGAGCTACCGCCCTGCCCAGAGAATGAGAAGACTCATTCATCTGTTGACGGCACTAAAAGGTCTTACAGGACAGACAGCACCAGTCCAAGGCTACAGCTTCTGTAAAATCGGCCCTGGTGTCAGTGTGTATGCGTCCTGCCACGGACTGGTGTCCTGTCCAGAGTGTACCCCGCCTTGAGCCCCTTGCTTGCCAGGATAGGCTCTGGCTCTCCTGCGGCCCTGAATTGGATGAAGTAGTTAGAAGATGGAAGGGTGTTTCGTGCACACTATTTTACATCCAAACGTCAATGGCAGTTCTAACGACTTCAGTTTTTCAAACACGGGTCAATATAATGGAATGTAAGCTGCACAAGCAGACAGTCCTGATGCACTAGAAAAAAAGCTGTTAGGAAAAATAATTCTAAGCGAGTAAGTACTGTAACTGCAATTTTGAAAACCTCCTGTACAAAATAAAGCTCATATCATAAATGCTCAAAAATGTTTTATGTTTGCAAAATGTAAGTTTATAAAATGTCCTGCTTTTTAAATGTAAAGAAAAG